GATAGACATAGCTCTCTAAGCTTATGTTTAAGTTCAACCGTGTAGGTTCTAGTTCACTTGCAATACTTTGCTAAAGCATATAAACAAGCCCAGCTAATGTAGATTTAGCACATTAAATAATTCAACATTGGATAGAAAAAACTTAAAGAAGTGATCAAAACTATCAATCGAGCCTAATAATTCTCAAAATTAAAACTCCCATCGAATGTAAGAATATAACTAAACAAGCAAGTCAAGTAGCTCATCTCCAACAAACTATTGCTAAATTTATCAGTCTACCAAACCTCGATCATCAAGATTGACTAATAAAATGAAGCCGATAAAGAAGTAGTAAAGGCCAGGTATAATTATATAATGGTGTAGAGTGTAGACCTACAATTACCCAAAGAAAACCAAAGGAAAAAAAAATGTTTTCAAAAATAGCAAAGAGACAATAACTTTCATAAATGCAAAAGCCGTAATTACTGGAGGTGCTTAAAAATCCATCATCTAATTAAAACAAAAAAATTGTATGAAGAAATCAGTGGCTAATTAATTTTGGCAAGCTGGAAAGACAAGACATTATCATAAAAATAATTCAAACTAAATAACACACCAAAAATATGACTTCAGTAATTTCCAGAAGGTTGTTAAAGATAAAATGTTATTAATCAAGCTAAATAAACATGAAATTTAACAAAATTCATGAGGATGAAAGGTTTAAAAATATCGTAAAAATTTTCTAAGAGATTATTTGGAAGATTATTTGGAAAATACAAGAAAGTGATATATTTGCATGGCTGATAAGTCAGTATTCTCCCACCTAAACTTATAATTTTATGAGCAATTACATAAATAGCACCCAAAACATTGCTATTTACAAATCTGGCACCCTCTTTCATCCATTTTTCAAATTCTCACTCAAAAATCAAATTCATGATAAAGCCGCAACCCATATTTTTCATTTTTATCAAATTCTCACTGGTTTGATCATTGCGGGCGTAAAATACACCGGTTCAGTAGTTCAAAAATATCACTTAGGAGATTGATTTTGTAAATAGCAATGTTTTGAAAGCTCCTAATTTTAAGTGAATTGAAAACTCCTAAAAGGAGAGACATGCTCCGGAATCATACCATAAAGGGGATGTTCAGTCTTACCATCAGCCACAAAGAAACCACATAAAGCATTCTCAGCAATTTAGATATCAAATTATGGAAAAATAAAAGAGATCATATTTTTTGAAGATTCAATGGGCCGATCTCCCTATAAAAATTACCAATGATGATGAGTATAAGAGCGGATGTTGTAAGGATTCTAGATGGATCAAATCAATCATTAGACAACAAAAAATGAAAATTAAAGGTCCATGAGCTAGGCCATTGAATTTAATTTTCGACTGTAAGAGAACAAAGGCAAATTGTATTTTTTTTATTTATTTTAATAAGTTGTGTTTAAATCTAAGGAAATATTAGAATAATTTCTATTTTAACGTATCCAGGTTGTTCTGATAGATAAAGTTTGCCCTTTTTTTGGAGTTTTTTCAAGAAAAAGAAAACAAGCTTATCCCCATCTACAATTATCTTAACATCGTGTAGTAGGGAAAAAGGAATCAGAAAATCTCCTAAAAATCTTTTCCCTTCTCCTTTAGCCTGCTCTCTAATACTCAGTTCCCACTCCTGTAGCTCAAAGCCGGGAAAGCTCCTCACGGATTATTGTATCATAGCTGAAACAAGAAATACATATCTGGTATTATGTTAGGTATGGCTCATATGCCACGAATGGGACAGATGCTGGAGCGGAGCGGAGCCCATGAGCGGAGTAAAGCGAAAGGATCTGTCCAATTGGGGGAGTTTCATTATGTGGGTTGGGGGTGCGGGGGCAACACCTCGGGGTTTGGTACAGGAGTAATTTAAGTAATTACATATCGTACTATAGGGTTATATATATGTCTTGTTTGTAACCCTAGGTGAGTCTCTGAGACTCTGAGATTCTGAATCTTGTCTTTTATACTCTTTTCTGAATATTGAAAAGAAAGTCGTCGTTATGCTCCCGAGGATGTAGGTATCTTTCCCGAACCTCGTAAATCTCTGTGGGTTCTTCTGGATTTGTGTCGATTCTTGTTTTTTATCGCTCTAATTTCTCAACAAGTGGTATCAAAGTTTGGTTAGAGGGCAGGGAAGAAAAATTTCAGCGGCGGTTCTCGAGCGGTTAGCGACCTGGTAGCGATCAGGCGAAGAAAATCGCGAAACAGATTGTGCACATGCAAAGCAGATTCGCGAACGAGGTTCGCGCACGTGAAGATCTGCGAATCGGCAAGGCTTCTTGCGGTTCGCGGCAGATTGGAGCAGGTTGTGAATCGCTAGGGAGGGATTTGCGACTTGCGAGGGGCCGCGACAACGCGCTCCGGATTCGCAGCAGAGGAGTTCGAAGGCTTCGACGATTCATGCAAACAGACGAAGAGGAGGTCACGACATGCAGCACTTCGACGAATTCGGCGGCTTGCGAACAAGCTTCGACGGGTTGAAAAAGGGATCGAGCGAAGGTCAGGGCTCTCAATAGCGAAGGAAGAAGCTCTCGCGAAGGATCTATTCGCGAAGCGAGAGATCGCGGAAGGAGTGTTCCCTCGTGAAGAATTCAGGAAAGGAAAGATTTCCTTCTGGAGCGGAGTTTTTTTCATGAAAGAAAGGTTGTAGTCAGCGGTCCAATTTCTTTCCAGAAGGAGGGGAAGCGGAGGATTTTCTGAAAGGAAAAAGGAGTTTTTTTTTAGAATGAAAGCAGAGCTTTTCTGAAAGTAAAAAGGAGTTTTTTCTGTAAAGCGAAGGGGGAGCTTTTCTGAAAAGAAATGGGAGCTCTTCTTGAAAGTTAAGGAAAAAGATTTCTGAAAAAGTTTAATTAAAGGAAATTCATTTTTTTAGTCTGAAAAAGTTTAATTAAAGGAAATTCATTTTTTTTAGAAACTTAATTAAGAAAAATAATTAATTAAGGAAACTTAATTAAGGGAATATTTTAATCCTTTTTCGGAAAGATTATGTTGTTTTAGAAAAACTTAATTAAGAGAATATTTCAATCCTTTTTCGGAAAGATTTTGATGCTTTTCTAAGAAACTTAATTAAGGGAAATACTTAACCCGCATTGGAGTATAAGAAACTCCATGATGTATTTTCTCCTAAGGGGTTGTATATTCGTCAAGGTGGAGATTTGTTAGGCATATGTGTTTCTCCTAAGGGGCTGGATATTCGCCAAAGTAGATATTTATTAGACATATATATTTCTCCTAAGGGGCTGGATATTCGTCAAGGTGGAGATTTGTTGGGTATATGTATTTCTCCTAAGGGACTGGATATTCACCAATGTGGAGATTTTTTAGGTATGGCTCATATACCATAAATGGGACAGATGTTGGAGCGGAGTAGAGTGGAAGGATCTGTCCAATCGGGAGAGTTTCATTATGTGGGTTGGGTTGCGAGGGCAACACGTTGCTGTTTGGTACAGGGGTAATTTAAGTAATTGCATATTGTACTATAAAGTTATATATATGTCGTGTTTGTAACCCTAGGTGAGTTTCTAAGACTCTGAGATTCTGAATCTTGTATTTTGTACTCTTTTCTAAACATTAAAAAGGAAGTCGCCGCTCTCCTCCCGAAGATGTAGGCATCTTTGCCGAATCCGAAACTCATAAATCTCTGTGTGTTCTTCTGGATTTGTGTCGATTCCTGTTTTTCTTCGCCCTAAATTTCTCAAACACGAATTATTATATCATAACTGAAACAGCGCCCATCTCCTGTGCAATTTATTATTGTTTTCTTTTTGAATCATCGCTGTTGTCTTAAAACCAATGAAAAGCTTCCGTTTTTCCACTTGTTTTGCCTTGGTTGCTTTTGTCCTTAATCTGGAGGCTTTGCTGCTAATTTCTGCCAGCACTGATGTTATTCACTGCTGCTAATTACTTCTCTCTTGTTTTTTTATTGCTATTGCACACTCCAGGTTGCTTTAATCAACAAACTTAGCACGGATAACAGCAACTTCTTGTCCCAAAAAGAATGAAGTCAATCAACCTTTTTTATTTAACATAGGTCATAAAGTTGGATTATTTTAATTCTTGCATCCATACTATTTTAAGCATTTTATAAATTTTAATTTAATTTCACACGTGAACAATTTTGAAATGATTTTGAGTTGGCTCAAAAAAAGTTCAAGCCAATTCAAAATCAGATAGTTTTGAGTCTGCATAAACTTGATTCAAAATTATTTCAGTTTCCAGTAGAGTTTTACTTGAGCAAGGATAAAATTTTTTTTAAGTTTGAGTTGAACCAACATTCCCAAACTCGACTAAATGTCAGCCATAAGGTTCGGTTATTAAAAAAAACTATTATTGCTCAAGTAGTAGGGCATCTATGTATTTGGATGTATAATCTAGCTCTTACCAGCATGCCCTCTAAATGAGCGGACTGCTGGACAAGGCACATCTATCAAGTGACGATGCCACTTATTTAAAATTGAATACTAATGAACAGGTATTGGCATTCAACTTCTGGAGTGCAATTTGTCTTAAATGGCTATCTCTCACCGAGTTTTTAGCAACATCTTAAGTTGTACTTGAGTACTCCTCATAAATGAATCCTTCCAAACGATTTAATACAATGAACTATTTGTCTTAGCTAAGCAACCAGGACCAATTCAGAAACAGCTTAGTTACTCTCATTAGATTGAATTAATTAGCTTGGGTTAAGCTGATAAGGGCGATACAATATCTACTTTATAAATAATCACATAACTTTCACACAATCAAAGAACCCAAAAATATCAGAGAATAGAAAGGAAGAAAAGCCCAAAAATATCCGAAAATAGGAAGGAAGAAATGCTTGAGCTGTACTATCGCAACCATAAATGCCCAAAGAAGAGAAACAACAACCACAAGATTTCATTTATTTTCAAGAAAATGAAAGTATAAACACAACTAATACTAGACATATTCTAACTTTCCAAATACCTACATATTAACCATAATAAGCAGACAAACCTTTCACGGGTTGGTCATGGCAATTTTCAACAACTGGCTCTAACTTGCCACAATTTTCATCATTTCTTTGTCTTTCATCTGTCTCTGAATTAGAAGAACTATTAGTCCCTGCACATGTAAAAACAATTCCATGCAAAACATTAGGATATATATAAATGTAGAGGCCATCAGGAAAAAATTTTCCTAATTTTGTTCATCATTGCAGGCATAGGTTCCAAGAGGATGAGCAGAAGTTGGGAGCAAAGTATATTTAAGCAGAAGGGCTATGGACTAAAAAAATAAAAAACTATTATTTATGGAACTAATATTCTTACAATCACTTGCAAAATAATAATCTCAATTGACAATTATAGTTATTAGAATATCAATTGTGCTTGTTGAATTTTAATACATTAATATAACACTCATTGTCATTTCGAAATCAATTCATTGAGGCCACCATTAGTTCCAAAGATAATGCCTGAAGAATGGAAAACAGAAACCGTAAAATCGTAAACAAAAATGAGACAAAATTAATTTGTATAAAAAAATCACTCAAGCAATGTTCGTCAGTACTTTAAATTTATTCACTGTGATATCATGAAGTACAAACTATTCATTGTGATTTGGTGAATTACAGACTATTGTTTAAGCGGAAGGGCTATGGATTAAGAAAATGATAAAATATTGTTTATGGAATTAATATATATACCAATCACTTACAAAATAATCTCGTTTGTGTCAACAATAGCTGTCAGATTATTCCTTGAGATTTAGTGAATCTCAAATGCATTTACAGTACACTCACTGCCGTTTCATTATTCAATTATTAAGGCATTATTCTACAATTAAGGCCATCATTCAAACAAATAGGGCTTTCAAAGAAGCACGTTGTCCACAAACAATTTCTGTTCTATTCATTTGTTAAGCAAACAAGAAGAACACGAACAATTTTTTAAGCTCGATTTATAAATCAAGCCAAACGCGACAAAGCTACGTGTGGTCGTGTTTGCCACATTTTGGCTCAAATTAATTAAATGATTAAAACTAATATTTAATATGAACTTTTTATATTGATTTTTAAGTTGGTTTTTAGAAAAATATGTTAAAATTTATCATTTGTTAAATCAATCGAGTTAAATTTTGAGCCGAACACAAGCCGAACAAACAAACAAATTTGAACCGAGCATAATACAAATATGTCATTCAAGAAACATTTCAAACATGAGTCGATCTCAAATTAAAAAAAAATTAACAAGCCGAACACAAACAAACACTGAGCTCGACGAAGTTAAGCTCATTTACACCTTCACAAACAAAAAATAACACAAAAAAAAAGCGAAACAAAAATGATTTTTATAATAATTTATTTTAAGCAGCGTTCATTAGAACTTTAAATTTATTCATTTTTATCTGATGAATTTCACAATATTGTTTTAAGTGGTAATGGCTGGCATTATGAAAATAACAGATTATTGTTTATGGAATTAATATACTTATAAAATTAATATACATACAAATCACTTGCAGAACAAGAATCTCAATTGAGTCAACTATAGCTATTAGGACATTCCTAGCGATTTGATGAATTATAGACTATTGTTTTAAGTGGAAGAGCTCTGGATTATGAGAATAATAATTGCATATGGAATAAATATACTTACCAATCACTTGCAAAACAATTATCTCAATTGAGTCCACTATAGCAATTAGTGAATTGCTTGAAGTTTGATGAATCTTTAATTCATTAATAGAAAAGTCACCCTCATCAAAATTCAGGTTGCCATTAATTCAAACGAAAACGACTGAAAAAAAGTGAAGCATAAACAGCAAATTAAAATGAAAGAAAAGTAATTTGTAAGAAAAAGTCCTTCAGATAACGTTTATTACAAATTTAATTTTATTTGGGAATTGAATCAAATCATAAAACGAGCTGAACGAATAGCAAAAACACAAAAGCAAGCTGTAACACTTGCGTTCCTCACATCCAGTAGATTCTTTCATTCCATGATTCTCACCATCAAACAAGTGATCGAGAAAATCTGATTAGCCTTCCTCAGTTTCTTAAATAAAAAATGGGCATAGGAAAAATTATTAGATACTCACCAACTATCGCTCAACTTAACACTGGATGAGTGGTTATTTGGTAAAAATGAAGTGAAAGCAGTGATTACCCTCAGCGTCCTTTTGAACCACATCCGTCACTGACGAACCCATTCCTCCCAATGTCTGATCTCCCCCAATTAATTTTCCATCTTCATCGCATCCCGATTTATGCTTTCCCTTCTCCGAACAAGCCACTTGAGAAGGAGACGACGAGCCTTGATGCTCCCTGACACTATCTGACCGATGACCCTGCCTATACACAAATGAGCCCGGTTTTTTTCCTTCCCTCTGATAATGTGTCTGCGGCCTCCTCAACCCAGCCTGGTGCAGCGCAAGCAGCACATCCCCAATCGAGAAGTAGTGCTGCATGTAAATGACTGGCGTCCAGTTACATCGCCGCTGCTGTATGCATCCTATTGCGTGCTCGAATTCGCCGGGCTCACCCATAAGCCGGATATGATGCACCAGAGCATCAATAATCGCATTCGCCGCCGCAAATTCACTTCTCAGCCACGATATAAATCCGTCCCTCTCGTCCGGAAACCACTGCCGCTGCGGCAGCGCCTCACCAACAGAGAAATGCATCTTCTCAGGTTGCACAGCCATCATCGACGGCTCAGCAGTTCCAACTCATCACCAGATCCCGCTATTTCAATACCAGAAACAAGTCAAAAATAACAATGCAGGTGAAACTAGGAACCGTCCAAGCAATCAGAGCAGCGAATGGAGCCGGAAAAGCAAGACGGCTCCGGCAATCACCCGCAATGGCGAACGGCAAGTGAAATTCAGTTGATCTGGATCGAAGGGAGCTAAGATCGAGACAGGATCTAGGGTTTCTACGAAGAGATGGATGGCTTTGAGAGCACGCGTTTCTGCTCTCCACCGAGTCGCTCAAATGCTGAGGCTGATGAGAGAGAGAGAGAGAGAGAGAGAGAGAACGGGAGAGGACCAGGAGGAAGATTCGTCTAGCGAGAGGGGTATTTCGGGGAAGTCGTTGGACTCGGTAAAACCCCGCACCTGTCTTGCGACCATTTACACGTATGCCGCACGGCATGGCGTATGCATTGATTAATCAACGTCCATTTTAGTATCTAACGGCCTAAAACATTGTACGCATAAAAGAAACTGTGCGGAGTTTTTAGGATAGTCTATGGTCCCCTTGGGCAGAGTAGAAGGCGCCGACGCGGAGAGGTACTTTTTTGGCCTATTGCCTGCGGAGTTGAATGTGGACCGTCTGATGCGGTGGGAACGGCTGTGGGGATTGATTGAAACGTGATTATAGATTTTCTTAAGGAAATTGGACGATTCTGAACGGACGGGCTTTACGGTGGTTAGGCCGAAGTTGGAACTGTGATTAATGAACATGTTCTTTTTTTTATTTCTTTTGAGTTTCAAATGCACAAATTATAAATTTGATTAAAAATAAATAATATTAAGGTTTTGATAATAATATTAAAAATATATGAGTTGAATTAGTTTTGCAAGTAAAATTGATTAGTTATGAAAATTAAAAAATTTACATTTCTGAAATAGTGATGAGACCAAGTTCCATGATCAAATAAAGATGGGCGGGCAACATAAAGGCTATTAGGCCTAGGGGTTGCCATAAGTAGACTTTAAAGGATGATTGTCAGGCACTGAAGAGTCAAAAAAGTGTGATAGGCGGCAGACACCCAAGGGCATTTGACATAAGGACAGGCGACAACGATCAATGTATGAACGATTGATGTAAACAGCACTTATCAGACCAGCCGACAGAACACAAGTTCAAAGGAGTTGGTTGCCCAATGGCCGACGCTGGATATCACATGGTTGAAGCTCATACTCATAATCGGGTGGCTCAAAGTTGGGAACGGATGGCCTAAAACAGGTGTTGTCCTTTCAAGCGTATAATAATAATTGAAAGGGTCATGACATCTCACAAAGGTGTTGTCCTTTTAGCATTACTGTTAGAAGCGAGTGACTAAGCCGAAATTGTACATGGTCCTGCCCGGGCCTTCTGAAGGGATTAATTTACTTTAAATAATTTGATGTAATTATCTTGGTGGGGTCAACTACTATAGTTAGGAGGCATTGCACATAATAAGTACATGCCATCTGTCTTGAGTTTTTTCAATGCGTTCTCAGGATATTAGCAAACAAAGATGCATTTGGCGGACGCTGAGAATATTGCATTCATCACAATGGAGGGAGTATTTTGCTATAATGTAATGTTTTTTTAGCCTAAGAGTGTTGGGGTGATTTACCAGCACATGAATGATTAATTTGTTTTCAAATTAGAAAGGAAAAAATATTAAATTCTATATCAATGGTGCATTAGTAAAAAGTATATCACTAAAACAATATAAAAATTACTTCAAATAAACTTTTGAAACACTCAAAAAGTATAACATAAAACAAAATGTCACCTCAAGTGTAACTTTGGAGTGAAGCTCTGAAAATTCCTAAGCTACGTGCTAACCCCAAGAGGAATCAAAGCAAACCCGAAAAAGATTCAGACACTCATGTTCATGCCATCAACCTGCAACGTCAAAAACTTGTATAGGTCGGCGGATCAAATCGAATGACTGACCCAATTCATCTCTAAATCAGGCTACATATGGGAATCTATTCTCAATACCCTATAAAACCAAAAAGTATAACATAAAACAAAATGTCACCTCAAGTGTAACTTTGGAGTGAAGCTCTGAAAATTCCTAAGCTACGTGCTAACCCCAAGAGGAATCAAAGCAAACCCGAAAAAGATTCAGACACTCATGTTCATGCCATCAACCTGCAACGTCAATATTTCCTTTTTTTAAAAAAAAAATAAAAAATTTTAGGTGGGGCCCACCGAAATACATCAGGACCGTAAATCACGTGATTTACGGTCCGGATCGGACGCCGATCCGCATGGAATAATTTTTCCTATAAATCAGCAAAAAGCTTCACTGACCCAATTCATCTCTAAATCAGGCTACATATGAGAATCTATTCTCAATACCCTATAAAACAGCAAAAAGCTTTGCAAGGGCAACTAACTGTGAACATGTAACAGCTGCTACTATAATATATCAGTGCCCCTGTGGAGATTTAATTTTGTATATAGTAAGTCGTGCATGTTTATTTTTATGTTTACTGACTTTCTTGAAGTTCTTAGATTTAATTTAATGCTCAATTTATTCATCAATTTTTAGTGATTTTATTTCATGTCTGATTAATAAAATGTCTTGACCATGTTATAGAGCACATTTGATTGTATTTTAAGGATATTTTTATCTACTTCTATGAGCATCATAAGTAATAAAATAATAGGTTCTTGTTGAAAATTTCTTTCTTGAGAATTTAATACATATTGTGAAAAACGATGACAATAAAGCAAAAAATCAGATCGAGAAAAACACAAAACAAAAAACACAGCGGAAACACACAGATTTATGTGGTTCGGCAAATTGTTTACGTCCACGAAGTTGCAGAGGATTTTATTATCTTGAGGAATTACACCCGTCGATCACCTCGAAGATTACAAGAAAGCACTCATTCTCTCTATCTCTTTCTCTCTGCTCTTCTCCTCTCATTCTCTCTCTCTCTACCCGAGAGCTTCAAACCAAAGCAAACTAAAAGAAGAACTTGAAAAGCTACCAATTTCGAAGAGGAAGCCTAGGAAACCAAATCCCGATAGAAATTACAATGGGAGGTAGCATGTCTATTTATTCATTTTTTCATCTGCAACAAATCATAGAAGGAATTAAGAATAATTAATTTAGTAATTAATTTCGAGTATCAAATACAATTTACTGCCAAACATAAGAAAATGTCAATTTGAACAGTGGGTCGGTTTCTATATTCGCAACAATACATCCATATACAAGTGAACTTTCTGGAATTTTTTTATGTATATTTTGCAACTTATTTTACTTATAGACACGTTTAACTATTTATAGACATTTTTTCTATAATTTATGGAGTCCTATATTATAAGAGAAATAAGTTTTATATGCAGTGCATACTTAAGAAAAATAACAAATTCAATATTTAAATTCATATCCTCTTATTAAATATATAATAGTATTTTTTATAAACAACTTAATCTATTAAGCTATGGTTTGATTTCCTTTTAATTCCCCCATTGTTTTCTCAAACAGAGAAATGTAAATATATATATATATATTATTTTAAGGGAGAAAGTCCATTTCGGAGGTTGTCGAGTGAAAAATCATCCAGCACTAAGTCGGCTACCATTAACCTATTTCTGATTTCAATTTAATTATTTTTTTTTTTTGTAAAGTTTTGATTTATTATTTGTCAAAATTTCGTATAAATTCAGATTTATGAAAAATTGTAAACTTTTCACGGCACAACTTTTTTATTTGTTATAGATTATATTGTGTTTGAAACATCGATTTAAAAATATTTATTTTTTGACGGAATTTTGTGTTGTATAATATTTTGTATATTTTTGCACGTGCGTTAAACTTGATATAAATGCATAAAATATTATTATGGATATTTCATGTAAGCGTTTTTGCAAATTTTATTTTTTGATATGTGTAGATTTATTTTTTCGCAAAGTACATTATTACTTGTATCTACAACTATCTATAACATGTGAAATTTGATATGTGAGAATTGTTATCATTTACATGTTTTTGTAAAATAAATATGTAGCAAAAATAATAAAAATTAGGGAGTTATAGGTGGTTGTGATTGGACGGTTGTATGTTATGTGCAATCCAGTGGAGTTATAATGAATTTTGCACATATTTAATTGAACATTCTTGTGTTAATACATCTAAATAGATGTGAACAAGTGGTGGTATAAGTGAAAGTATAGTTATAAGGAGGCATAAAAGGAAATATGAAAAAGTGAAGCAATAAGTGGAAGCGGGGATAGCGAGGATATGAGGAGACGAAGGAAAAATTTTAAAATAATTTGAATAAATATTTAAATTTAATTTTCATAATATTTTCCTATACTTATGACTTCATATTGATATACTGTTATTTAGCATTATAATTTTTTGTGCTCACACTATGATAGATGTTACACATGATATTTCGATATGTTAGATTTATTTACATCGAATATATATTTATATGTTTTGAAATTTTGAAAACTACAGTAGATTTTGAGTGTTTTATTCAGATGTGATTGCTCACCTCCTGCTTTACTCACATGTATTATTTTAGGGAAGAGTAAGGCAGAGGTTGAGTGGAGACTTTTGTATTATTTGTGAGAGTCTGATTTAAAATATGTTAGTATCTTAGATCATTATTTTTGACAGTCATGGTGATATTTAGTTTTTTAATGATATAGAGATTAAACAATGTTTTTTGTATATATTCATTTTGTCACATATCTATATTGTCTGAATGATTTTTTGATATATTTATTTTACAATATTTGATAATATTTGTGGATCTGGGTTTGAAACTTGAAGAAAAAAATAAGTAAACAAGATTCCTTTCAAATAGATATTGGGTAATATTTTATATGTTGTGACCTCGACATGAGATGACCCTCCCTGATATGACATATTACATCGAGTTGGGTTATGACCGTATTTTTGGTGTAAGCACAATGAATTTGGAGGAATTAATTTATAAATAGAGTCATGGGATTGATTAGTATATTAATGCAAGAGCAAAATCAGTACTAAGGTATGTGTGTGTGTCTATATATATGTGTGTGTGTGCGCGCACGTGCATATGCACTTATATGAGTGAAAATGCACAGATATAAGTGTATTTTTAAATGAATTGAGTTGATTGAACTAATTCCTTTCGAGCAATCCTTGAGGAGGAAAACGATTTTAATTGAGTTGATTAACATTCATATTATCATTGCGAGAGTTTGGAGTTTCAAACAAAGTTAACCCACAACATGCAATAATTGAGTTAAGATTTTCTACCCCACTAAACGCAGAAAAAGATGATCCCTTTCTTATGCAAAAGG